AAACAGTTAAAAAGACTATTGAAACCATAGAAAAGGCAGGAATGGAGATTCGAGAGGACAAAATCCAGTACACCAAGCCATGGACTTACCTTGGAGTCCAGATCCGGGAAAGAACCATCGTACCTCAGCAGATCACCATAAATGACGACCCAAAAACCCTCAGGGACTTACACAGCCTTTGCGGATCCATCAACTGGGTACGTCCACTGCTAGGAATTACAACAGAGGACCTTGCTCCCTTGTTCAACCTTCTTCGCGGACATAAGGACCTGGACTCTCCTTGCACTCTCACAGAAGAAGCCAGAGGTGCCATCACCAAAGTCCAGGAAGCCCTGTCTTCACGCAAAGCCCATCGCTTCGAGCCCAGCCTGCCTTTCCAGTTCATCATCCTGGGAAAAGCACCTCGATTCCATGGACTGATTTTCCAGAATGGGTCTTTACAAATAGCCAGCCCACAAAGACACTCACCACCTACCAGGAGGTCATAGCACATTTAATAAAAAAGGCTAGGACTTGCCTTCGCTCTCTTTCAGGTTGTGAGTTCAAATGTGTACACTTACCAATAACTTACAGACTTTGAGGATTTGATCCAGACCAATGAAAGCCTCCAGTTTGCCCTGGATAGCTACATGGGCCAAATTTCAGTTAGGATCCCAAAACACAAACTTTTTAACCCTGATGTAACCTTCCATTTGATTCCAAAACAAATCCAAAGTAGAAAACCTCTCAAGGCTCTAGCCCTCTTTACAGATGGCTCAGGGTCTTCCCACAAGTCGGTGGTTACATGGAGAGACCCCCAAACACAAGATTGGTACTCTGACATACAAATAGTGGAGGGATCTCCACAGAATGCAGAATTAGCAGCTGTTGTCAGAGCCTTTGAAAAGTTTAAAAACGAGCCTTTCAATCTGGTTACAGATTCAGCTTATGTTGCTGGGATAGCGATGTGAGCAGAACATGCTCTTCTCAAAGAGGTCTCTAATACAAAGTTGTGCCAACTGCTCTCTAAATTAATATACCTAATCTCCCACAGAAAGCAACCTTACCATATAATGCATGTGAGGTCACACACAGACCTCCCAGGTTTTGTTGCAGAAGGCAACAGAAAAGCGGATGCATTAGCAATGGCAGCAGAAACTGCTAATGTTCCTAACATCTTTGCCCAGGCAAAGTTGTCACACGCGTTTTTTCATCAAAATATACCTGCCCTTATGAGAATGTTTAAGCTCTCAAAGGATCAGGCAAAGGCTATCGTCGCTACGTGTCCGAACTGGCAGAACTATCAGATACCATCCATGGGGATGGGAGTCAATCCCCGAGGTCTGAATAGCTGCCAGCTGTGGCAGACAGATGTAACTCACTTCGCACATTTTGGAAGATCAAAATACGTGCATGTATCGGTCGACACATTTTCAGGAGCAGTATTTGCATCATCACATGCAGGAGAAAATACCATGCACACAATAAAACACTTTCTCCTCGCTTTTGCCACCCTGGGTGTACCAAAAGAGATTAAAACAGATAATGGACCAGCCTACACTTCCTGCAAGGTAAAGGAGTTCTTCAATGAATGGGGAATAGCACACAAGACTGGCATACCTGTAAACCCCACAGGATAATCCATCGTGGAAAGGACACATCAAACCCTCAAAAGAGTCCTTGAGCAACAGAACAGAGACACGAGAATCACATCTCCAGTGGAAAGACTTTGCAAGGCTCTCTACATCATCAACTTCCTGAACTGTACAGCATCAGAGCCTGACCCACCAATACTTCGCCACTTTGCAAATACCACCCAAGCAAAGCTCACCGAGAAACCACCTGTGCTCGTGAAGGACCCTGAAACACACCAAATTTCTGGGCCTCATCAGTTGATTACCTGGGGTAGAGGATATGCATGCGTGCTACTACCTGCCGGTCCGAGGTGGTACCCAGGAAAAAACATAAAGCCTTACTTAGGCACTGCGAACACTCCTCCTGCAAACGGGGACAAGAACTCTCCAGAGGCAAACACAAGACCACCTCAAAACCAAACCAGCTCTGCCTGGAGATGAAGACGTCGCCGCATACCCACAAACACAAGAACAGACCACCCCATTACAAGACAGCAGACAAAACTGATAGCTAAACAACAGTCTGCTGCATCAGACCATAGATAGCCTTAACACAAAATGTTCTCTGAACTATATGTTGTTACACTGGGTTTTTTTTTGTATTTAAAGAAAGAAAAAAGAAAAAAAAAAACCCTGTTATTCCCCCTCCCTAACCTTTTAAAACCCCTTAACCTTCTACCCACTCCTCCTCCCTTAGTGTAGCTTAGAAATTAAAAGAAAAAGGGGGAGAGGAGGGGAACACAGAAAAGAACAAGGCAGAAAACCCTCTCATCATAAAGATAACAAATTCTGCTTATATTCCCTATCAGAAGCCCTATTCCTGCCCAAAGATGAAAAATATCTATGTTGCTACTGTCCTCATTGCTGCCTGGATGTTCTTCACTGTATCGCGTGCCTTCGGCTGGATTAGCCCACAGCCCAGCCATAATGTTTGGGTAACCTTAGCAAAAACATTAAAACAGGACAACATGTGCTTGTCCATGGGAAGCATTGATAACCCACTTTCCACATGTCTAGTAGGAATTCCCTTTGTAGCAGATGACTGGCCTGTCTATAACTCAGAGCTTCTCCGCACCACAGGTAAGAGACCCAATGTGGCTGATACTTGGGACGAGTGGACAAAAATTCTGCCAGATGCTCGAGAGGAACCCCAAGAATTGGATCTGTTGGGATCCTCCAAGGCCACATACTGTGTCAAATTTTACTTTAGAGGTCCAAAAAACAATTGGCCAGAAATTGACCAGAACAAAAACACATATCGAAAACAGATATCACCAATTAACAAAGCCTATAACTCTCACGATTGGTGCAATTACACGGCTCGTGTGATTTCTGTGTCCTCTCTCCATCTCAAAGTATTACCCAAGGGAATGTTTCTCATCTGTGGTGACAGAGTATGGACTGGGATCCCCTCCCGTCTCCAGGGAGGTCCCTGTACCCTTGGAAAACTTTCCACCCTTACTCCAAACATCACCCTGTTAAATAATTGGAAAAAAGAAAGCGAATCAAAACGACAAAAAAGGTCCTACACTGAATTTGATGAAAATTGTGATCCTAAATTATACGATTGGAACAAACCAAAAAAGATTGCTGTCTCCCTGTTTTTACCCTGGGTAGCTGCAGCTAAAGCCCTCGGTGAAATCAATCACCTTGGGTGCTGGCTCAGTAAACAAGCTAACGCTACATCTGCAGCCTTGAGTGATCTCTTAAAGGAAGAAGAAACCACAAGACAGGCTTCGCTCCAAAATCGAGCAGCAATCGACTTCCTGCTGCTTGCCCATGGACACGGTTGTGAAGACTTCGAAGGGATGTGCTGCTTCAACCTCTCTTCACGCTCGGAATCCATCCATGCGAACATCCAGAAACTGAAAGATCTCGTGAAGGACTTGAAAGTAGAAAGAATCCCAGACTGGGTCAATGAACTTTTCGGGCAATGGGGATTAACAGGATGGGCTGCATCCTTGGTTAAGGGAATGTTGTTGATTCTCCTTGTAGTTGTTATTGTGTTAGCTATGTTCTCGTGCCTTGTTCACTGTTTCAAAAGAACTATAACGAACGCCTTTTTTGTAAAAACAGAAAGTGGAGTTGTAGTAAACCCCATAGATTTAGGAAAAGCACCATGGAGGATATGAACAATAGGAATGCTGAAACAGCAAAAGAAAATTCCTGGTTTTCTGTCCTCCACCCCTTAACCTACCTCTGTAACCCTATAAGGCAATGTCATGTTAACCTCTTACCCATTGGTCAAGCTTGGATCCTTTCCAACCCTATAAAGGAAGCATACTGTACCCCATTAGGGGAGAAAGAAGAAGAGCAGAGACCCTTCAAGGACCTCCCCAAATAAAGCCAAATCCGTGGAACAGCCTGCGCCTTCTCCTTCTCCTCTCTCTCCGTCTGCTGCAGCCTCCAGCCCAGGGCACCACTACCTAGCAAGCAGAGCTGAAATCCTGAGAGCTTGCAATCACTATAGAGCTGATAATCACCATGCTTGCTAGATGGTAGCCCCGCGGCCTTGGCATGAGCGAGCTAGCTTTGGGCACCCGGTCCCTACCCAGGGACTGAGCTCCTGAGCCCTATTGCTCTGCTTTATGATAAGGCCAAATAAGAGGCTTTATTGGGCCTTTGTGACATCCTCGTGTGGGGAACAAGGCAGAGGAGGTGTTTGGGATAGGGGAGAAGAGAATCCAGAGCCTCCTGAAGACCACTTTGGCCATCAGAGCAAGGAAGGTCCAGAGCCCTGCCAGGTTCCTCTGGTGGAGAAACTTGCTGGGGGAAATGTCTGGGGTTTGTTCCTTTTTGGGGGCTTTCCCTGGAAATTGTTTCTTGTGTGACAATTTAGACACTGAACCTTGTTGCTGTTGCTGTTGGTTTTATTCTCTCTCATTGCTGTTTCAGCAAATTGTTCTTCTCTAAGCCCATTGGCATCTTTGTGCCCCCACGGGGAGGGATTGGGGCAGTTTTTAGTGTCAGCACATACACGAGTGGGTGCCCATGGGTGGGGACCCCCAGTGCCCCCAGTTCCCCCCAGTGTCACAGCACATTCCCGTAGATGTCACCGGGTTCCTGCGGTCGCCCCTGGGGTCCCGGCAGCTCCGCGTAGGTCACCTGGGGATGCTGGAGGGTGGTGGCACGGGGGGACGCTGCGAGAGACACGGGCTGTGGGATCTGGGTGGGGTGACACTGGTGGGTGACGTGTCCCTCTGCGTGTGTCCCCCCCGTACTCACCCCCTGCCCTCTTGGTGACCACGACGTGGGTGTACAGCACCTCCCCCTCCTCTGGGGGGGCTGGGGGATCTGGGGGGGCCCTGAGGGAACAAAGGGGATGTGGGGGAGGGAATGGTCTTGGGGGTTGGGGAAAATAGGGAGCGCGTGGTTTGAGCCTCCCACTCACCTTTCCTGGTTCTTCCTGGCAGCTGCAGAGGAAAGAGGGGAGGGGTGACTGTGGGGTCCCCAGGGCCCTGACCCCTCTCAGGATTCCTGAACTCCCATGGGACCCTCAGTCTTCAAGAGGACCCCCATGCATCTCTGGAGCCCCCCAGAATTCATGAACATCCTCAGTGCCCCGAATCAACTCAGCCTTAAGTACCCAAAGTCCAGGAGGGACAGAGACCCCCCCAAAAACACCCAGGGTCCCTGAAAGAACCCCCAGCATCCCTGAACAACCCTCCAGCACCTCCCCAAGGTCTACAGCACCCCCAGCCAATGTCACAACTCTGGGATTGTGAATGCCACACTCTCGTTTCCCAATTATGGGGGCCTCTACAGTCCCCTGAGACCCCCGTCCCCCCATTGTCACCCACCCACACGGTGCCACCAGTTCCAGGCCACAATGACACCCACGAGCAGGAGCAGGAAGAAAAGGGCCCCACCGACCCCTGCGGCCACTGCAAGAAACAGAGGGGGACACATCAGGGTCACCCATCACCCCAGGGGTCCTGCACTCCCTGATGACCCTGTGGGACCCCACCTGTGTCCCTGTGTGTCCCTCTGTCCTGCGGTGTCACGTCCAGGGCACAGGGGGTGATGGTGGCATAGGCCACGGGCACTGCGTGGACAGAGACAGGGCTAAAGGCACAGGGAGGGGCTGGCAGCTGGTGTGGGGGGACAGGGATGGGGGATAGGTGTGATGGGGGATGTCAGCGGTGGGGTCATAACACAGAAAGGTGTGGGCACAAGGGGAGTAATAGAAGGACCAAGGAAATTTTTGCTGGGGACTTGGAGATGCCCAATCAGGGGACCCGAGGTGTCTGTGGGGACTCCCTGTGCACCATGACATGGAGCCAGGTGCTGCTTTTCCCCACGCACCCCACCTCAGGGTGCCGCTGACAGCTGTAATTCCCCGAGTGGGAGACCCCAGGGCGGGCACCAGCAGCTGTGGGGACCCCTGTGGGTCTCCCACCATCTTCCCGTCCTGGTAGAACATGTGCAGGAGGGGGATCGGGGCTGCAGGGGGCTGGGGGTGCTGAGGCAGCTGAGAGTCAGGGGGGACCCCAGGGTGGGCTCGGGGGGACCCTCCAGCCCTGGCACCAAGAAGAGCTCAGGGAAGGAGAGGGGAGAGGGAATTTTGGCCCCAAATCCCTGGGGAGGGGCTGTGGGGGTGTCGGGGTGGGGACTTTGTGGTGCTCACCGTGCACTGTCACTGTCACTGGTGGTGACTCCCTCAACCCCCAGGGTCCCACCTTGCCCCTGCAGCTGTAGTGGCCACTGTGGCTCAGCTGCAGAGGGGACAGGGACAGCTCAGTGACATCGGAGAACACCCCCAGTTCCTTCCCCTCCTGGTAGAAGGACACCGAGGTGACCGTGCTGTTCCGCCAGCCCCGGCAGCGCAGTGTCACCGTGTCCCCCTCCAGCAGCGCCCGCACCGGCACCTGCAGCACCAGATCATCTGGGGGACAGAGGGGATTCATCACATCACAGGGATCTCAAGGGTCCTGCTGACATCGGGACCCTCACTGAGTCACACCCAGTGCACCAGAGGTAAGCAATTCCACAAACAGGGTCCTCTCACTCGGGGATGCTCTGGGATGTCCCCAGAGCAGGGGATGGGCTCTGGTCACACAGGAGGTGACCCATGGAGCGGAGCCCACCCAGAGCCCTTGGGGTCCCCATGGGTGCCAGGCTGGGGACAGCCAAACCCCCCTCACCTTCTGAGACAATCACAGGAGGGCTGAGCCCAGTGCCAGGTCTGTCACAGTGGTAAATGCCTTTCATGGTGACAGTGACATTGGTGCGTCCCTGCTGCCCCCAGTGCTGCCCGTCCTTGTACCAGGTGGTGGCACCGGCGGTCCCCGAGCCCTGGCAGGTCAGGGTCACCCGGTCCCACGGCACCGCCGGCCTCCAGGGGGGCTCCACCAGGAGCTGGGTGGTCTGGGCACCTGTGGGTGACAGGGGACACCAGCCTGCCAGGGCCAGTGTGGGGCTGGGGACAGTGGGGTGGGGCCATGGCATCCCCTGAGGACTCACCAGCGAGGCCGAGGGTCTGGGCTGGAAGGGAGAAGGGACAGGGCTGGGTGGGGGTGGCACCGTGGGGACAGAGGCACCGGGGGCAGGGGGGGTGGGGATGTCTCTGAAAAAGGTCTCAGTGGGGGCACTGGTGTGGCACAGATGTCTCGAGGACAGGGACACAGCAGCCAACTCCTGCTCAGGCATGGGGATCCTGTGCTGGCACAGGTCACTCCTGCCAGCCCCATAGCCACATTCTCATGACCCTGTGCCCATGGTCCCATTTTGGTGGCACCTGTCCCCATGGCTCAAGCACATGGTGCTTGTCCCCTTGTTCCTGTCCCTGCATCCCTGTGTCCCTCTTCCCCTGTCTCTGTCCCCACAGCTGCCCAAGCCCCAAGTTTACTTCTGTGTCAACCTTGTCCCCACAACTCCATCCTCCTGTCCTTGTCCCCACATCCCAGCTGCCCTTTGTGTGTCCCGTGTTCCTGTCCCCATGGCCACCCCACAACTCTGGTCACACTGGGCTCCATGCCCTGCTGGCCTTGAGGAAACCAGGGGACGCCGCAGCCCCCCTGTGCCCCCTCCCCTCCCCATCCCCAGGGTGTCAGGCCCATGCCGGGGCACTCACCCCACAGGAGCAGCGCCACCTTCCCGGCCATCCCGGTGTCCCCACCCATGTGCACTGGATGTCACTCGCTGCTGTGGCCACCGCTCCCCTGGCTGGCGGCTCTTTGGATGAAGGGCAAGGAAGCGAGGTCACGTCTGTCCCCATGCGTAGGTGGCCCTTGGTGGGGGCAGGGTGGCCACAAGCTGGGCACAGGCTGTGGCAGGCTGGGGACAGCCTGGGGATATGGTGGGGGAGGGTGTTGCCAGGAGTGGGGGGCTCAAGGGATGTGGGGAACCAAGGATGGGTGTCCAGGAGATTGGGAGTCCACTGGAATTGGGGTTTCCATGCATGGGGGCATTCAGGGATGGGGGTGCTGTGGGAACAGGGTCCCCAGGGATTTGGGGTCATGGTGTGTGGGTGCCAGGGCTGGGGGTGCAGGGGGTAAAAGGGGACCCTCGGGAATAGGGGTTCTGGGGGAAGAAGCAGCCCATGGAATGGGACCAAGGCAATGGTGGTGCTGGGCAATGTCAGTCCTGGCATGGGGGTCCCCAGGGAGGAGAGACCAAGGCAATGGGGGTCCCATGGCTGGGTTCCCAGGGGAATGGGGGTGCCAGGGATGGGCAGTGGCTGGGTGGGCACGGGGGTCACAGCTCCTTCCTGGGGTGCCTCAGATTTTGGGGTGACTCAGATCCCAGCACAGTCCCCACCCTGGGGCACCCCATGGCTCTCCTGGGAGGTTCTGTGTCTCTGCCCCACTCACCCCTGGGCTTTTTCCTGTCTCCCCGCATTTCCTGGCTGAACCATCCCAGGGAACAGCTGGGAGAATCCCAGGAAGGGAAAAAAGGGGTTGTGGGGTGCAGGCAGTGGTTTCAGGGCTGTGGCGGATGGGGCTCCCTGTCTGTGACCCCCCAACTCTTTCCTGCAGCGGTTTGTGCTGAGGCAAGGACATGAATTCTGTCCAGGGGGCACATCCCGAGGGGTCCAGCCTTTAGGGAAAAGGGCAGCTCTGCTGTGCTGACACCCGGCTCTTGTCCCAGCCTCTTGTCCCTGGGAGCTCCTCCTCGTTCTGGGGGTGCCACATCCTTGGGGATTCCTTTCCCAGAGGTGGCACATCCTGGGGTCCTCTGTCCTGGCTGGGCCTTGAGCATTCCCGCTGTCCCCCGTGGGGCCCTGTGACCTCTGGGATGCTCAAACTTAAGGAGGCATCTTTTATGACCTTGACCTGATGATGGTAAATCCCAGGATCAAGCTGGTTGAATTCCCCAATGCCCAATTGCTTTGGACAATTTTGGGGTCAAATTTTGGTCTCAGATTTTGAGATGACTCAGAGCCCAGCACAGACCCCACCCTGGGGCACCCCAGGCTTGTCCTGGGAGGCTCTGGGTCTCTGCCCCACAAATCCCTGGGCTTTTTCCTGTCACTCAAATTTCCTGTCTTAGCAATCTCAGGCAACACTTGATGCCCAATTGACTGTGACAAAATTATACAGCCATAGAAAAAAGGCATAAATCTTTTCCTATACCATTATTTTCCCAACAAAAAACAAACTCCTGAAAAATCAAACTGACAAGGTATAAAATGCTCTGGTTTGTAGAATCCGTTTAATCATTGCTTTCCCAACAAGAGGATATCAAAACACAATAAAAACAGAAATAAGTGGACATAAAAACCACAATAAAACCACAAACAAATCAAAGTGAAATGAGACTTTTTGGGTCCCTTTAGGAGCCCCTTGGTGCATCCCACAGCAGGGTTTGCTTGTGGATAACACAGAGGGTGGAATCTCCCTGAGTGTCCAACAGCTCCATGGGATTGTTCCCTGCCTGCTGGGCAGCAACCCAGCCCCTAAGGAAGCCTTTTCTTGGCCCATATTTAGGAACTCTTCCCATTTTTCTCGTTCCCACTCTTAAATTTGATTGACTTCCCTTGGAGGAAGGGGAGAAGCTCTGTCCATGCTTGGGACAGTGCACAGGAATCTGTGGAAATGCCCCTGTGTGCCTCAGGGTCTGATTCCCTGGTAAATCGACTCCAGCCTGCCCTGAATTCCCCTGCCTGGGCACTCCCTGCTCCTGCTGTGACACCCCTGTTCCCCAGCCCCTCGTGTGCAGCCCCTGCTCAATATTTCCACACTTTCCCCTCTCTTCTGGTGTGCACATCCAGAACACAAACATTTTTCCAGGAAGTTCCAAAGGGCAGGAGGTTTTGTTCAAGAAGGAGGGTCCAGGTCATCTTGTTGAGAAAATCGGTGTGGGATTTGCAGCAGTTTTGGGGCTCTCTCAGTCCCTTGCTGAGAGGGACAAAATGATCAATTGCTGCATTTCCAGACTGGTTCCCCCACAGCTGCGCCTGCAGGGGCAGTTTCCAGCCAGCCCTGCTGTGAAAACCATCAAAGGCCCTCTCAGAGACACTGCTTGGGCTCCCTTTGGGTTTGTGCTTCTTGCAGGGCTGAGCAAACCACAGGCAGGGCCTTTTTCCCCCACAGAATTCTCACCTCTGCAGCAGCTCTAAAGCTGCCAGAATCAAAGCCAAGGGGGCAGGGGGGACCCTCAGGTGCTGGCTGCCAGCTGGGGCTGGGCAGAGCAGGGCTGGGCAATGGCCATCCCTGTGCAGTGGGGCTGGGCCATGGCTGGGCCCCAGCCTTGCATTGACAGGGGTCCCCAGGATGTGCCACCCCTGGGACAGGCACCCAGCCAGGAATGTGCAGGGACATTTCTGGAACTGCCACACCAGGGACAGGAGCCCCCATGCCAGGATGTGTCACCCCTGGGACAGGATCCCCCCAGGACAGGAGCCTCTGGATGTGCCCCCCCAGGACAGAACCCCCCCCTTTCCCATCTGACTTTCAGCACAAACGGCCTCTTCCTCCTTGCCCAGGAAAAAGAAATTGAAAGTGTTGAGGGGGCACAGCCCAACACCTCCATCCCCCACAGCCTCCCCACCCTTCCCTGCACCTCCTTCTCCCCATTTTCCCCCTCCCCTGGGTCCCCCCAACCCATTCCCTGCTCAGGTGCTCCCCGGGATTGCTGAGCCAGGAACCGGGATGAGGGGACATGGCAAAAAGTAAGGAGAATAAGGAAGAAAGAGAAATAAAGAGAGGAAAAAGTCAGGGGCAGGGGAGGGCACAGAGGCAGAGCTACCCAGGAGCCCCATGCAATGCCTGGCCAGGAAATGAGCACCCCAGGGGTGATTTTGCAGTGCCCTGGGTCACTCCAAAATCTGAGGCACCCCATGAAGGAGCTGTGACCCCTGTGCCCACCCAGCCACTGCCCATCCCTGGCACCCCCATTCCCCTGGGACCCCAACCTTGGGACCCAATTTCCTTCTGTCCCCCCTTCCCTGAGACCCCCATCCCTGGACTGCAATTCCCCAGGATCGCCAACTCCAAGGAACCCCATCCCAGTAATTCCAGTCCCTGGGACACCCCTTCCCTTGGGGACCTTGATTTCCCCAGGGCCCCCATTCTCACGCGGACCCCCTTGCCCCTGGCACCCCCAAGCCATGGCCCCCATCCCATGATCACAAATCCCTGGGGACACTGGGTGTTGTGCAGGGCGTGTGCCTGGCCCCGGGACACTGCTATGCTGCCAGTGGGCGCTGGGATCCAACCTGCTGCCTTGGCGGCTTCTGCCCGCTGCCGCTGGTGGTGCCGGGACCGATTGGTGGCCGTGAGTTTGCAAAAGGAGCGATTTGCCCTCCTGCCTCCCGCCCGAGGCCGCCATGGCCCCTGAAGGGATGGAGCTGGAGCGGGGCGGCCCCTGCTGGCCGGGAGTGCTCCCTGCAGCACCCCCTGCTGGCCGCGGTTATAACTGCCACAAAAACCAACAGTGCTGAGCGGGAGGGAAAGTTCTGGGTTTGAGTTGTTTGTTCTGTTCTGCTTTATAAATTTCCTACTACAGAGCTATTATTCCTTTTCCTACACCTTTCCCTGGAAGCCCCATCATTTTTGAAATTAGAAAGATTTTTAGACATGGGTCTTCCTTCCATTCCAGGAACATTCTCACTTTCTTTGGTAGATATTTCTCATTTAAATGAGTTGCCAACTCCTGGGTTCCAGTGTGGATGGGACAGACACTCCAGAAGGAGACACGGTCAGGGACTTGGCCACCTCATGCTTTATCCTTTGAGCCAGTTGGGCCACCAAGGGCCCTCTCCCCAGCTGGCACTTCTGATCATGCGGCCACTCAGGAACTGGATTTGGCAAAGCATTACACTGTCCTCAGTGTGCCACGGCTGACAGACTGATGGACAGGCGGGGCCCTGTCTCACCAAAAGCAAGGCCTGACCCAGCCCTGCCACATACAGCTGTTCCAAAATGTCTCCAGACATCAAACTTTTCCTGTCTCTGACACCCCACCCTGTGCCATGGCCTGATCCCAACTGCCCTGGAAAAGGGGGAGGCTCCAGAACCCCCACAGGGCATTTCTGACATCCTCATGTGGGGAACAGGGCAGAGGAGGTGTTTGGGACAGCGGAGAAGAGAATCCAGAGCCTCCTAAAGGCTGTGTTGGTCATCAGACCAAGGAAGCTTGAGGGCCCTGCCCTGGTGGAGGAAACCTGCTGGGGACAGCGTCTGGGGTTTGTTCCTTATTGGGGGCTTTCCCTGGAAATTGTTCCTTGTCTGACTGTTTGGAGGCTGAAGCTTGTTGCTGTTGCTGTTGGTTTTGTTCTCTTGTTGCTGATTCAGGAAATTGTTCTTCTCTCAGCCCTTTGGGATCTTTGTGCCTCCACTGGGAGGGTGAGGGGCATCAGCCCCTGGGTTTCAGTGGCAGCCCAGAACTGGAGAATCCCATTCCCAAAGCCCGACAAAGCTGAACAAACACCATCTCTGCCATTTTAACCAAAAAGCTGCATTTTGGACCAAATAAGAAGGAAATGGCTCCTGTGCCCCCTGGCACAGGGAGGAGCCTGGGGGGCCATGGGTGTACTGGGGGAACTGGGAGGGGAAAGGGGCGCACTGGGTGCCCTCTGCAGCCCCCCCTGACTCGTGATCATCACCCCAGGCAGGATGGGCCACAATGGGAGCCATGGGATGGGGACTCCCAGTTTCCCCCAGTGTCACAGCACGTTCCCATGGATGTCACTGGTGTCCTGCAGTCGCCCGTGTGGTCCTGGCAGCTCTGCCTGGGTCACCTGGGGGTCCTTGGGGGGGACAGTAAGGGACACCTGGCTGGGGGTGACACCCATGGGTGACATGTCCGTGTCCCCACCCATCCCCCATACTCACCCCCTGCCCCCTCGGTGTCCAGCCCCTCCCCCTCCTCCAGGGGATAAGGGGGTTCTGGGGGGCCCTGTAGGGATAAGGGGGGGTCTGAGGGGTGTCTGGGGAGGGGGTCAAGGAGAGCCATGGCTGGAGCTCCCCACTCACCTGTCCTGGCATTTCCTGAGAGCTGCAAGAAAAAGAGGACGGGGTGATCATGGGGTGCCCTGGGCCCCAACCCCACCTGGGACCTTTAAATGCCCACTGGACCCCTGAGCCCCCACCAGACACTGATTTCTACTGGACTCCCAGGCCCCTGCACCCCAAACCACCCCTGAGGAGCCCCAGAACACCTGAGCCACCCAGGAACTCCAACCTCCTCCCCAGGACCCCTGAACTGCCTTGGGACCCTGATTCTTCACACAGCCCCTGAGCACCCCGCAAGCCCCCAAAAACCCCAAGAATGGAATGCAGGAAAGCTTTCAAATGAGTCCAGGATCACTGGAGAGCTCTCAACATCCCTGCACAACTCTCCAACACGTCCCTAAAAGCCCCCAGGAGATCCCAGAGTCACCCCAATATACCTCAAGGCCCTTCCTAGGACAGCCCAGGACCCTCCAAAGTGTCCCCAAACCTGTGAGCACCCCAAGCAAAGGTCACTGGGGGCTCAGCTTCCTCCAGGTCAGGAGCTTTGGGTGATTCCCCAAGTGCCCCTCCAGTGTGTGGGGCTTCCCCCCAGTTCCTGTAGGACCTCGTGCCCCCCCATTGTCACCCACCCTAGCAGTGCCACCAGTGACAGCCCCTGATGACAGCCAGGAGCAGGAGCAGGAACAGGAGGGTCCTGCTGAAATTCACAGCCACTGCTGGGGACAGAGGGGACACATTGGGGTCACCTGGAACCCCGGGGCTCCTGAACACCCTGGTGACCCCGTGTGACCCCACCTGTGACCCAGTGTGAGCCAGGTGTCACCTCCAGGGCCAGCTCAGGGCTGAGTGCCCGGAACATACGGTGCCCGTCCTGTCCCAGCTGGTTGGTGGCCATGCACTGGTAGGTGCCCAAATGTCCCACATCGATGTCACCGAGCTCCAGGAGGGGACCTGGGCCACCTCCTGCCCATTGTGCAGCCAGGTGAAGGTGACAGGGGCTGAGCCCACCTGCACTGAGCAGTGAAGGGTCACGTTGTCACCTGCATGCACCTGGCGTGACAGGGGACCAGGGGTGATGGTGGCATTGGCCACGGGCACTGTGGGGACAGAGACGGGGCTGGCACCGGGCGAGGTGGGATGGGTGTGCCATGGGGGGGGGGGTCACTCCCAGCCCGAGGGTCCCGCTCACCCAGAACAGTGACATTCAGGGGGTCACTCTCGGCCACGCTGTCCCCGTCACTGACCCGGCACCGGTACTGGCCGCTGTCATTGTCCCCAGCCTGGCTCAGCTCCAGGCAGGGACCAGTGCCAGGCGGTGCCCCCGAGCCCTCCCGGTGCCAGGAGAAGGACAGAGGACCTGTCCCCACGGCCACCGTGCAGCTCAGCACCAGGCTGTCCCCGAGTGCCACCTGTCCCCCGGGGGGCTGTGCTGACAGGGAAACCCACGAGAGCGGGACTCCTATGGGGGGACAGAGGAGGGTTTGGGGACCCAGGGGAGGTGGGGGACAGAGGAGGGGAAAGAAGGGGATTGGAGGGGAGCAGAGAGGATCCCAGTGAGCAGAAGGGGACCCTGGGAGGCACGTTGGGACCTGGGGACAATGGCGAGACCCCGTGGAAAGGGAGAGAGACCCAGGCAGGGATGGGGAACCAGACCAGAGACTGAGGAACCTCAGGGAATGATTTGGGGTTAAGAGATGGGCGGGAGGACCCAGGGAAGGCAGAGAGACCAGAGGGTAGAGCAGGGACCTTGGAAGGGGTGGGGAATCCAGGGAGGGCTGGGGAGGACAAAGAGAGGGATGAGGGATCTGCAGAGGGAACTGGGCAGTCAAGGGGAAACCAAGAGGGACTTGGGAAATTTGGGGTGACCCAGAGAGGAGTAAAGGGAGGGATGAAGGATTCAGGCAGTGCTGGGGAAACCCTCAAAGGATGTTGGGCTTCCCTGTCCCCATCCCTGCACTCACTGTGCACTGTCACTGTCACCCTGTTCGACATGCTCCACAGTGACACCACCCGGCCCGCGCAATGGTAGAGGCCACTGTGGTGCAGCTGCAGAGGGGACAGGGACAACTCGGTCCTATCATGGAGCCCCTCCAGTTTCCTCCCCTCGTGGTAGAAGGACACCGAGGTGACCGTGCTGTTCCAAGAGCCCCGGCAGCGCAGTGTCACCGTGTCCCCCTCCAGCAGCAGCCACGCAGGCACCTGCAGCACCAGCCAGTCCGGGGGACAGAGGTGTCCTGTCACACCCGATGGCACCAGGACTCCCCATTCGGTGAAACCCAGCACACCAGGGGTCCTCATTTCCCACATGGTTTTCCCCACTCTGGGATGCTCTGGGATGTCCCCAGAGCAGGGCACAGGCTCTGGTCACACCAGGAGGTGACCCATGGAGCGGAGCCCACCCAGAGCCCTCGAGGTCCCTGCAGGTGCCAGGCTGGGGACACCCAAACCCCCCTCACCATTTAAGACTGTTACGGGGGGGCTGAGCCCGGTGCCAGGTCGGCCACACTCATAGGTGCCACTCTCAGTGACACTGAAGTTGTCGCGTTGCTCCTGGCCCAGTGCTGCACATCCTTGTACCAGGTGGTGGCACCGGGGGTCCCCGAGCCCTGGCAGGTCAGTGTCACCCGGTCCCACAGCACTGCTGGCCTCCAGGGGGGCTCCACCAGGAGCTGGGTGGTCTGGGCACCTGTGGGTGACAGGGGACACCAGCCTGCCAGGGCCAGCGTGGGGCTGGGGACAGTGGGGTGGGGCCATGGCATCCCCCTGAGGACTCACCAGCGAGGCCGAGGGTCTGGGCTGGAAGGGAGAAGGGACAGGGCTGGGTGGGGGTGGCACTGTGGGGACAGCAGCACGAGGGCATGGGGTTTAGGGGCTGTTCCCAAAAAGTCTCAGTGGGGGCACTGGTGTGGCACAGAGGTCTTGAAGACAGGGACACAGCAGCCAACCCCTGCTCAGGCATGGGGACCCTGTCCTAGCACAGGTCACCCCTGCCAGCCCCACAGACACATCCCCAGGACCCTGTGCCCATGGTCCCATTCCAGTGGCACCTGTCCCTGTGGCCCAAACACATGGTGCTTGTCCCCTTGTTCCAGTCCCTGCAGCCCTGTGTCCCTGTCCCCACAGCTGCCCCAGCCCCAAGGTTCCTTCTGCCACATCCTTGTCCCCGCATCTTCATCCCCCTGTCCCTGTCCCGACATTCCTTTCTCCTGTTTATGTCCCCAAAGCTACCCCACAGTACTGGTCACACTGCCTGCATACCCTGCTGGCATTGGGGACATCAGGGGACCCCACAGCCCCCCTGTGCCCCCTCCCCTCCCCATCCCTGGGGTGTCAGGCCCGTGCCCGGGGCACTCACCCCACAGGAGCAGCGCCACCTTCCCGGCCATCCCGGTGTCCCCAGCCATGTGCACTGGCTGTCACTCGCTGCCAGGGGTGGCTGTCCCCTGGGTGGTGGCTCTTTGGCCAAAGGGGAAGGAAGCAAGGTCAGGTCTCATCCCCATGTGTAGGTGGCACCTGGTGGGGGCAGGGTGGCCACAAGCTGGGCACAGGCTGTGGGCAGGGTGGGGACAGGATGGGGACAAGGCTGGGTGGGACACAGTGGGACATGGGGCTCCCAGGAGTGTGGGGGGCTCAGGGGGTTTGGGGATGTGGGGATGGGTGTCCAGGGGAATGGGGGGGGTGTCAGGGATGGGGTCCCTGGGAATGGGGGTGCTGAGGAGGGGGAGTCACTGGGAATGGGGGTGCCCAGGGCTGAGGGGACTCAGGGATGGGAGTGCCAGAGGAATGTGGGCTCCAGGGATTTGGGGTCATGGGATGGGGATGCTGGGGGAAAGGGGGATCCCGTGGCAATGGGGGTTCCTGGGAGAATCAAGGTGCCAGGGGAAGGAGGATTTCAGGGGATGGAATGAACAGGAGAGGGTTCCTTGGGAATGAGGGGTCCTGGGCCATGGAGATCCTGGGGAATGTGAGTTCTGGGATACGTGTTCCAGAGAGGGGGGCACATAAGAAATGGGGTACAATGATTTGATTTCCAGGGGAATGGAGGTCCCAGGGATGGGCAATTGCTGGATGGGCCCATAGGTCTCAGCTCCTTCCCTGGGATCCTCAGATTTTGGGTCACCCAGAGCCCAGCACAGCCCCCACAAGGTGCCGGCGGCCTGGGGGTCACCCAAAACAGATTCCGAGAGGTTCTGGGTCTGTGGAGCTGCTGCAGAGGTGAGAATTCTGTTGGTAGAAAAAGGCCTGGCTGTGGTTTGCTCAGCCCTGCAAGAAGCACAAAGCCCAAAGGGAGCCCAAGCAGTGGCTCTGAGAGGGCCTTTGATGGTTTTTAGAGCAGGGCTGGCTGGAAAGTGCCCCTGCAGGGGCGGGCACCTGTGAGGGAACCAGTCCGGAAATGCAGCAATTGTTCATTTGTTACTCTTTGTAAGGGACAGAGAGAACCACAAAACTACTGCACAACCCACAACATTCTGCTCAACAACCTGACCCGGACCATCCTTCTTGAACAAAACCTGCAGCCTTCTGGAACCTCCTGGAAAGAATGGGTTTGGGTTTGGAATGTGTCCACCAGATAAGAGGGAAAGCTGTGGGAATACTGAGCAGGGGCTCTGCCTGCGGCCATGGTGGTGCTGTGGGGAGTGACCCGGTCTGGATTCCAGGTGGCCCCAAAGCTGCTCCATCCCTGCCCTCCTCACCTGAGTGAAAGGCTGAGGATTTGCAGGAATTGTGGTGTAAAGCCACCAGAGGTGCTGCTGTAGGCCCGACACCTGCCTGGGGTCAGGTGCTGCCTTCCTTCCATTCGGGATCATGGAGAGCAGTCGCGGGTGTTGTGCAGGGCGTGTGCCTGCCCCAGGACACTGCTACGCTGCCACTGGGCACTGGGATCCAACCTGCTGCCTTGGCGGCTTCTGCCCGCTGCCGGTGGTGGTGCCGGGACCGATTGGTGGCCGTGAGTTTGCAAAAGGAGCGATTTGCCCTCCTCCCTCCTGCCCGAGGCCGCCATGGCCCCTGAGGGGATGGAGCTGGAGCGGGGCGGCCCCTGCTGGCCGGGAGTGCTCCCTGCAGCGCCCCCTGCTGGCCGCGGTTATAACTGCCACAAAAACCAACAGCGCTGAGCGGGAGGGAAAGTTCTGGGTTTGTGTTGTTGGTTCTGTTCTGCTTTATAAATTTCCCAGTAAAGAGCTGTTATTCCTTTTCCTACACCTTTCCCTGGAAGCCCCTTCATTTTTAAAATTAGAAAGATTTTTAGACATGGGTCTTCCTTCCATTCCAGGAACATTCTCACTTTCTTTGGTAGATATTTAAATGAGTTGCCAACTCCTGGGTTCCAGTGGATGGGACAGACACTCCACAAGAAGACACGGTCAGGGACTTGGTCACCTCATGCTTTATCCTTTGAGCCAGTTGGGCCACCAAGGGCCCTCTCCCCAGCTGGCACTTCTAATCATGCGGCCACTCAGGAGCTGGCTTTGGCAGAGCATACCACTGTCCCCAGTGTGCTGTGGCTGACAGACTGATGGACTGGCGGGGCCCTGTCTCACCATAAGCAAGGCCTGACCCACCCCTGCTACATACAGCTGTTCCAAAATGTCTCCAGACATCAAACTTTTCCTGTCTCTGACACCCCGCCCTGTGCCATGGCCTGATCCCGACTGCCCTGGGAAAGGAGGTGGCTCCAGAATCCCCACAGGGCCTTTGTGACATCCTCGTGTGGGGAACACGGCAGAGGAAGTGTTTGGGACAGGGGAGAAGAGAATCCAGAGCCTCCAGAAGACCACTTTGACCATCAGAGCAAGCAAGGTCCAGAGCCCTGCCAGGTTCCTGTGGTGGAGGAAACCTGCTGGGTGAATTGTCTGGGCTTTGTTCCTTATTGGGGGCTTTCCCTGGAAATTGTTCCTTGTGTGACAATTTGGACACTGAACCTTGTTGCTGTTGCTGTTGGTTTTATTCTCTCTCATTGCTGTTTCAGCAAATTGTTCTTCTCTCAGCCCTTTGGCATCTTTGTGCCCCCACGGGGAGGGATTGGGGAAGTTTTTAGTGGCAACACAGACACGAGTGGGTGCCCATGGGTGGGGACCCCCAGTGCCCCCAGTTCCCCCCAGTGTCACAGCACATTCCCGTAGATGTCACCGGGTTCCCGTGGTCGCCCCTGGGGTCCCCGCAGCTCCGCGTAGGTCACCTGGGGATCCTGGAGGGTGGTGGCACGGGGGGACGCTGCGAGAGACACGGGCTGTGGGATCTGGGTGGGGTGACACTGGTGGGTGACGTGTCCCTCTGCGTGTGTCCCCCCCGTACTCACCCCCTGCCCTCTTGGTGACCACGACGTGGGTGTACAGCACCTCCCCCTCCTCTGGGGGGGCCGGGGGATCCAGGGGGGCCCTGAGGGAACAAAGGGGTTTTGAGGGAGGGAATGGGAGGTCTTGGGGGTTGGAGAAAATAGGGAGCGTGTGGTTTGAGCTCCCCACTCACCTTTCCTGGTTCTTCCTGGCAGCTGCAGAGGAAAGAGTGGAGGGGTGACTGTGGGGTCCCCAGGGCCCTGACTGCTCTCAGGATTCCTGAACTCCCATGGGACCCTCAATCTTCAACAGGACCCCCATGCATTCCTGGAGCCCCCCAGAATTCATGAACATCCTCCATACACCAAATCAACTCAGGCTTAAGTACCCAAAGCCCAAGAGGGACAGAGACCCCCCCAAACACCCCCAAGGCCCCTGAAAGAACCCTCAACATCCCTGAACAACCCTCCAGCACCTCCCCAAGCTCTACAGCACCCCCAGCCAATGTCACAACACTGGGATTGTGAATGCCAAACTCTCGTTTCCCAATTATGGGGGCCTCTACAGTCCCCTGAGACCCCCGTCCCCCCATTGTCACCCACCCACACGGTGCCACCAGTTCCAGGCCACAATGACACCCACGAGCAGGAGCAGGAAGAAAAGGGCCCCACTGACCCCTGTGGCCACTGCAAGAAAAAGAGGGGGACACATCAGTGTCACCCATGACCCCAGGGGTCCTGCACTCCCTGGTTACCCTGTGGGACCCCACCTGTGTCCCTGTGTGTCCCTGTGTCCTGCGGTGTCAGGTCCAGGGCACAGGGGGTGATGGTGGCATAGGCCACAGGCACTGCGGGGACAGAGACAGGGCTGAGGGCACAGGGAGGGGCTGGCAGCTGGTGTGGGGGGACAGGGATGGGGGATCGGTGTGATGGGGGATGTCAGGGGTGGGGTCATAACACAGAAGGGTGTGGGCACAAGGGAAGTAATAGAAGGAGCAAGGAAATTTTTGTTTGGGACTTGGAGATGGCCAAACAGGGGACCCGAGGTGTCTGTGGGGGCTCCCTGTGCCCATCCCGCACTCCCTGTGAACCATGACATGGAGCCTGGTGCTGCTTTTCCCCACATCCCCCCACCTCAGGGTGCAGCTAGAAGCTGTAATTCCCCGAGTGGGAGACCCCCACGGCAGGCACCAGCAGCTGTGGGGACCCCTGTGGGTCTCCCACCATCTTCCCATCCCGGTAGAACATGTGCAGGAGGGGAGCTCGGGGCCGCAGGGGGCTGGGGGTGCTGAGGCAGCTGAGAGTCAGGGGGGCCCCCAGGATGGCCTCGGGGGGACCCTCCAGCACTGGCACTGAGAAGAGCTCTGGGAAGGAGAGGGGAGAGGGAATTTTGGCCCCGAGTCCCTGGGGAGGAGCTGTGGGGGTGTTGGGGTGGGGACTTCGTGGTGCTCACCGTGCACTGTCACTGTCACTGGTGGTGACTCCCTCCACCCCCAGGATCCCACCTTGCCCCTGCAGCTGTAGTGGCCACTGTGGCTCAGCTGCAGAGGGGACAGGGACAGCTCAGTGACATCGGGGAACACCCCCAGTTCCTTCCCCTCCTGGTAGAAGGACACCGAGGTGACCGTGCTGTTCCACCAGCCCCGGCAGCGCAGTGTCACCGTGTCCCCCTCCAGCAGCGCCCGCGCCGGCACCTGCAGCACCAGATCATCTGGGGGACAGAGGGGATTCATCACATCACAGGGATGTCAAGGGTCCTGCTGACATCGGGACCCTCACTGAGTCACACCCAGTGCACCAGAGGTCAGCAATTCCACAAACAGGGTCCTCTCGCTCTGGGGTGCTCTGGATGTCCCCAGGGCAGGGGATGGGCTCTGGTCACACAGGAGGTGACCCATGGAGCGGAGCCCACCCAGAGTCCTTGGGGTGCCTGTGGGTGCAAGGCTGGGGACACCCAAACCCCCCTCACCTTCTGAGACAATCACAGGGGGGCTGAGCCCAGTGCCAGGTCTGTCACAGCGGTAAATGCCTTTCATGGTGACAGTGACATTGGTGCGTCCCTGCTGCCCCCAGCGCTGCCCGTTTCTGTACCAGGTGGTGGCACCGGCGGTCCCCGAGCCCTGGCAGGTCAGGGTCACCCGGTCCCACGGCACCGCCGGCCTCCAGGGGGGCTCCACCAGGAGCTGGGTGGTCTGGGCACCTGTGGGTGACAGGGGACACCAGCCTGCCAGGGCCAGTGTGGGGCTGGGGACAGTGGGGTGGGGCCATGGCATCCCCTGAGGACTCACCAGCGAGGCCGAGGGTCTGGGCTGGAAGGGAGAAGGGACAGGGCTGGGTGGGGGTGGCACCGTGGGGACAGAGGCACCGGGGGCAGGGGGGGTGGGGATGTCTCTGAAAAAGGTCTCAGTGGGGGCATTGGTGTGGCACAGATGTCTCGAGGACAGGGACACAGCAGCCAACTCATGGTCAGGCATGGGGACCCCTGTGCTAGCACAGGTCATCCCTGCCAGACCCACAGACACATTCCCATGACCCTGTGCCCATGGTCCCATTTTGGTGGCATCTGTCCCCATGGCTCAAGCACATGGTGCTTGTCCCCTTGTTCCTGTCCCTGCATCCCTGTGTCCCTCTTCCCCTGTCTCTGTACCCACAGCTGCCCAAGGCCCAAGTTTCCTTCTGTAGCATCCTTGTCCCCACAACTCCATCCTCCTGTCCCTGTCCCCACATCCCAGTTCCCCTGTGTGTGTCCCGTGTTCCTGTCCCCATGGCCACCACACAACTCTGGTCACACTGGGCTCCATGTCCTGCTGGCCTTGAGGACCCCAGGAGACCTCGCAGCCCCCCTGTGCCCCCTCCCCTCCCCATTCCCAGAGTGTCAGGCCCATGCCCGGGGCACTCACCCCACAGGAGCAGCGCCACCTTCCCGGCCATCCCGGTGTCCCTAGCCATGTGCACTGGCTGTCACTCGCTGCTGTGGCCACCGCTCCCCTGGCTGGCGGCTCTTTGGATGAAGGGGAAGGAAGCGAGGTCACGTCTGTCCCCATGTGTAGGTGGCCCTTGGTGGGGGCAGGGTGGCCACAAGCAGGGCACAGGCTGTGGGCAGGGTGGGGACAGCCTGGGGACATGGTGGGGGATGCTGTTGCCAGGAGTGGGGGGGCTCAAGGGATGTGGGGAACCAAGGATGGGTGTCCAGGAGAATGAGGGTCCACAGGAATTGGGGTTTCCATGCCTGGGGGCATTCAGGGATGGGGGTGCTGTGGGAACATGGTCCCTAGGGATTTGGGGTCATGGCAAGTGGGTGCCATGGCTGGGGGTGCAGAGGGAAAAAGGGGACGCTCGGGAATAGGGGTTCTGGGGGAAGAAGCAGCCCATGGGATGGGACCAAGGCAATGGTGGGGCTGGGCAATGTCAGTCCTGGGATGCGGGTCCCCAGGGAGGAGAGACCAAGGCAATGGGGGTCCCATGGTTGGGTTCCCAGGGGAATGGGGGTGCCAGGGATGGGCAGTGGCTGGGTGGGCACAGGGGTCACAGCTCCTTCATGGGGTGCCTCAGATTTTAGGGGTGACTCAGAGCCCAGCACAGTCCCCACCCTGGGGCACCCCATGGCTCTCCTGGGAGGTTCTGTGTCTCTGCCCCACTCACCCCTGGGTTTTTTCCTGTCTCCCCGCATTTCCTGGCTGAACCATCCCAGGGAACAGCTGGGAGAATCCCAGGAAGGGAAAAAAGGGGTTCGGAGGTGCAGGCAGTGGTTTCAGGGCTGTGGGGGATGGGGCTCCCTGTCTGTGACCCCCCAACTCTTTCTCTTTCCTGCAGCGGTTTGTGCTGAGGCAAGGACATGAATTCTGTCCAGGGGGCACATCCAGAGGGGTCCAGCCTTTAGGGAAAAGGGCAGCTCTGCTGTGCTGACACCCGGCTCTTGTCCCAGCCTCTTGTCCCTGGGAGCTCCTCCTCGTTCTGGGGGTGCCACATCCTTGGGGATTCCTTTCCCAGAGGTGGCACATCCTGGGGTCCTCTGTCCTGGCTGGGCCTTGAGCATTCCCGCTGTCCCCAGTGGGGCCCTGTGACCTCTGGGATGCCCAAACTTAAGGAGGCATCTTTTATGACCTTGCCCTGATGATGGTAAATCCCAGGATCAAGCTGGTTGAATTCCCTGATGCCCAATTGCTTTGGACAATTTTGGGCTCATATTTTGGTCTCAGATTTTGAGATGACTCAGAGCCCAGCACAGAGCCCACCCTGGGGCACCCCAGGCTTGTCCTGGGAGGCTCTGGGTCTCTGCCCCACAAATCCCTGGGCTTTTTCCTGTCACCCAAATTTCCTGTCTTAGCAATCTCAGGAAACACTTGATGCCCAATTGACTGTGACAAAATTATACAGCCATAGAAAAAAGGCAAAAATCTTTTCCTATACCATTATTTTCCCAATAAAAAACAAACTCCTCAAAAATCAAAGTGACAAGGTATAAAATGCTCTGGTTTATAGAATCCTTTTAATCATTGCTTTCCCAACAAGAGTGGGAAATTATTATTCCCAAATAAGTGGATATAAAAACCACAAGAAAACCACAAACAAATCACAGTGAAATGAGACTTTTTGGTTCCCTTTAGCAGCCCCCTGCTGCATCCCACAGCAGTGTTTGCTTGTGGATAACACAGAGGGTGGAATCTCCCTCAGTGTCCAACAGCTCCATGGGATTGTTCCCTGCCTGTTGGGCAGCAACCCAGCCCCTAAGGAAGCCTTTTCTTGGGCCATATTTAGGAACTCTTCCTATTTTGCTCGTTCCCACCCTGAAACTTGTTTGACTTCCCATGGAGGAAGGGGAGAAGCTCTGTCCAGGCTTGGGTCAGTGCACAGGAATCTGTGGAAATGCCCCTGTGTTCCTCAGGGTCTGATTCCCTGGTAAATCCACTCCAGCCTGCCCTGAATTCCCCTGCCTGGGCACTCCCTGCTCCTGCTGTGACACCCCTGTTCCCCAGCCCCTCGTGTGCAGCCCCTGCTCAATATTTCCACACTTTTCCCTCTCTTCTGCTGTGCAGATCCGGAACCCAAACATTCTTTCCATGAGGTTCCAAAGGGCAGGAGGTTTTCTTCAAGAAGGAGGGTCCAGGTACGCTTGTTGAGAAAATCAGTGTTGGATTTGCAGCAGTACTGGGGCCCTCTCAGTCCCTTGTTGAGAGGGACAAAATGATCAATTGCTGCATTTCCGGACTGGTTCCCCCGCAGCTGAACCTGCAGGGGCAGTTTCCAGCCAGCCCTGCTCTGAAAACCATCAAAGGCCCTCTCAGAGCCACTGCTTGGGCTCCCTTTGGGCTTTGTGCTTCTTGCAGGGCTGAGCAAACCACAGGCAGGGCCTTTTTCACCCACAGAATTCTCACCTCTGCAGCAGCTCTAAAGCTGCCAGAATCAAAGCCAAGGGGGCAGGGTGCACCCTCAGGTGCTGGCTGCACCCTGGGGCTGGGCAGAGCAGGGCTGGGCAATGGCCATCCCTGTGCAGTGGGGCTGGGCCATGGCTGGGCCCCAGCCTTGCATTGACAGGGGTCCCCAGGATGTGCCACCCCTGGGACAGGCACCCAGCCAGGAATGTGCAGGGACATTTCCAGAACTGCCACACCAGGGACAGGACCCTCCATGCCAGGATGTGTCACCCCCTGGGACAGGATACCCCCAGGACAGGAGCCTCTGGATGTGCTCCCCAGGACAGAACCCCCCCCCCCCCCTTTCCCATCTGACTCTCAGCACAAACGGCCTCTTCCTTCTTGTCCAGGAAAAAGAAAGTGAAAGTGTTGAAGGGGCACAGCCCAACCCCTCCATCCCCCACAGCCTCCCCACCATTCCCTGCACCTCCTTCTCCCCATTTTCCCCCTCCCCTGGGTCCCCCCAACCCATTCCCTGCTCAGGTGCTCCCCGGGATTGCTGAGCCAGGAACCAGGGGTGAGGGACATGACAAAAAGTAAGGAGAATAAGGAAAATAAGAGAAATAAAGAGAGGAAAAAGTCAGGGGCAGGAGAGGACACAGAGGCTGAACTACCCAAGACCCACATGCAATGCCTCACCAGGACAGAAGCACCCCAGGGCTGATTTTGCAGGGCCCTGGGTCACTCCAAAATCTGAAGCATCCAGGGAAGGAGCTGTGACCCCCAGGCCCCCCCAGCCACCGCCCATCCCGGGCACCCCCATTCCCCTGGGACCCCAACCTTGGGACCCAATTTCCTTCTGTCTTCCCTTCCCTGAGACCCCCATCCGTGGACTGCAATTCCCCAGGATCTCCAACCCCAAGGAACCCCATCCCAGTAATTCCAGTCCCTGGGACACCCCTTCCCTTGGGGACCTTGATTTCCCCAGGGCCCCCATTCTCACGCGGACCCCCTTGCCCCTGGCATCCCCATGCCATGGCCCCCATCCCATGATCACAAATCCCAGGAGGCCACGTTGTTCTGGGACCCTCATTCCCAAGTATGAGTCCACCCAACCCTTGGGACGCCCATTTCCCTGGAACCCATCCCTGGGCACCCCATTCCCCTGGACACCCATCCCTGGCTCCCAACACAGCCTTAGACTGAGATTCTGGCAACACCATGTCCCCACCATGTCCCACCCTGCCTCCCATGTCCCACAGCGTCCCCACCCTGCCCCCACCAAGGGCCACCAACACATGGGGACGGACGTGACCTCGCTTCCTTCCCCTTCATCCAAAGAGCCGCCAGCCAGGGGAGCGGTGGCCACAGCAGCGAGTGACAGCCAGTGCACATGGCTGGGGACACCGGGATGGCCGGGAAGGTGGCGCTGCTCCTGTGGGGTGAGTGCCCCAGGCACGGGCCTGACACCCCGGGGCTGGGGATGGGAGGGGTCACAGGGGGGCTGTGGGGTCCCCTGAGGTCCCCAAGGCCAGCAGAGCCAGAGCGGGGCATAGAGCCCAGTGTGACCAGAGTTGTGGGGTGGCTTTAGGGACAGGAACAGGGGAACTGGGATGTGGGGACAGGAACAGGGGGATAGAGATGTGGGAACAAGGATGTGGCAGAAGGAGCCTTGGGGCTTGGGTAGCTGTGGGGACAGGGCTTCAGGGGAACAGGGATGCAGGGACAGGGACAAGGGCCACGTTGCATGGGGATGGGCCAGGAGAACAGGTGCCATTGGAATGGGATGATGGGCACAGGGCCATGGATTTATGGCTGTGGGGACAGGTGCTGTTGGGCTGGTGGAGGTGACGTGTACAAACATGGGGTGTCCACAGTGTCCCCATGACCCCCACGATGCCCTGTCCCTTCTCCCTTCCAGCCCAGACCCTCGGCCTCGCTGGTGAGTTCTCAGGGGATGCCATGGCCCCACCCCGCTGTCCCCAGCCCCACGCTGGCCCTGGCAGGCTGGTGTCCCCTGTCACCCACAGGTGCCCAGACCACCCAGCTCCTGGTGGAGCCCCCCTGGAGGCGGCGGTGCTGTGGGACCGGGTGACACTGACCTGCCAGGGCTCGGGGACCCCCGGTGCCACCACCTGGTACAAGGATGGGCAGCGCTGGGGGCAGGAGGGACCTGAACACCTCACTGTCACCGAGAGTGGCACCTACACATGTGACAGACCTGGCATCAGTCTCAGTCCCCCTGTGACTGTCTCAGACATTGAGAGGGGTTTGGCTGTCCCCAGCCTGGCACCCAGCGGACCCCGAGGGCTCTCAGTGGGCTCCACTCCATGGTTCACCTCCTGGTGTAATCAGAGCCTGTGCCCTGCTATGGGGACATCCCAGAGTATCCTAGTGTCAGGGAAACCATGTGGGAATTGGGGACCCCTGGTGCACTGGGTGTAAATCAAATGGGGTCCTGGTGCCATCGGGTGTAACAGGACCCCTCTGTCCCCCAGGCCCGCTGGTGCTGCAGGTGCCGGCACAGGCGCTGCTGGAGGGGACACGGTGACACTGCACTGCCAGGGCTGGTGGAAC